GGGTTGTTCTGTTAATTTGTTTGTTTTGGTTGTGGTTTGTGTGTAGTTTGTTCTGTTTCTTGTAGATGCCGTAGGGCATTTCTATTGCCGGGCCCAAAAAAATAAATAATAATAATAAATAAAAAACAACAACAATAATAATAATAATAATAAAGCAGTAAATCTTAGAACTGCAAATACAGGTTACCACCACAAGTGACTTCAATTTTAAGAAAATTAAAAAACAGTTTTGTTTATTTCATACATCTGTCAATGAACCACACTTGATGCTCAGAGGTGTTACTGGTTTTTGTGATGGGGAGGACTTGAATGCTTCAACAATTGACTTGCATTTGTTGTTGTCTCCTTTGTTTTCCTCCAAACATTTCTTCAAAGCTTCACCACCATCTTCAGTCCCCACAGGCTGTGTCTTCTCTTTGTTGCCGACACCGCCACCGCCACCGCCACCGCCAACATCGTCTCTCTTCTCACTATCTTCCATTGCTCTTCACAACCCACAAAGCCCAAGAATTTCCAATGCTCTCTTCTCTCCTCGCTTGCACCTGTAAAGGAATTCAGTGTTGCACACACACATATATATATATGTATATATATATCATATATATATAACACGGAGTTATTTATAAAGAAGAAAACTATTCACAAAATCTTGAATAAAAAATATTTCATGAACTTACTGTGTTAGGTGTGCAATATCTCCTCATAAAAGTAGTACTTTCATTCACCAAATATGTGGAGGTGTTTACACCGACGAGAGGGTGTAATGTAGTGTTAAGAGTTACAGAGCAAAAGCTGATTAAAAAGGTGAGAACCGTTTATCGTTTGACTGGGAGTAGGCTTCTGATTTGATAATGGACTGTTATTTGAAGAGGAGTGAAAATTGGTGGGTAAAGTAAAAAAACGGTTTAAAGGTGGGACCTAACTAGATTGGACGTGTAAGAAGCGTGCGATTCGCTGAGTTGCGTGATTAACGGTTCATAGTTGATTGTGACACGTCAATGTCAACGACGGGTGGTCGGCTAAAAAACAGGAAGCACAGAGAATTTGAAGAAAGAAAAAGTGCTTTGGGCCCTATTCACTTTTAGCATTGGGCTGGTGTTGAATCCTGACCCATTCTTTTGGACAATGGACTCTCCATACCTCTAGTGGCAATGTCCATTGGTTCATATGGCCCATCTTTGTTAAAAAATAATATACAATATGGCCCATTTGGAGAAAGATCACGTTGTTAATTCTTCTTCTCATTATTACTATAATTTTTTTAATTATTATTTTTTTATTTTTTATATTTAAGATACTCTCTCCAGTTTTCACGTGGATCATTTTAAATAAACCTAATGTAATAATAAACTGAACTGCGCAAAACTCTAATAACAAAAAGAAACGGTCTCTACTTTCTCACTCACTATTATTTTTATTTTTTGTTTTTCCGTTTCAAATAGGATATTCTACTTAATAACTAGAGTTATAAATCTAACAACTGGTCCAACTTATTCTAATTATTTGATTTGAAAACGTGAACCCTCGAATTTAGTTTTGTTCTCAGACCCAAGGAAAAAAAAAAAAAAAAAACACTCTTACAATCACAAAAAGTAAGTTGAGTATTCAGAAAATATTTAGTTATCATTCTAGTAAACTTTATTAAAAAAATATAATCCTGGTGCTTAATGGGTTCTGAATGGGTAGTGTGATTTATATTAGTTGATATAGTTGGTATGCATTACCAAACTCTTTTAATGCTATGTTTGTTTCACTGTAAAATATTTTTTGAGAATTATTTTATTTTTTATTTTTTTTGGTATTTGAGAGACTCTAAGGTTAGAAAATTATTTTACTCTCAAATAACTGAAAATGATTTATCAAAAAGATTTTCGTGAGTCATTTTTCACAAGCTACTTGGCTGGTTAACTATCCTAATTCTTTGAACATTTATGTTCTTCTAACAACTAATCTTTTTCAGTCCTCCCAATTTAAAATTTAATCTTCAGTCTTCTCTCTCTATATGTATACGTAGAGTGAGACGAGAGAGAAAGAGGGACCAAAAAATTAGGTTGGTTGAGGAACAAAAATTGGTCAAGAGCGTGTTTTGGTATGGAGAGAGAATGGAGAGAAAGTAACGCAAGGAAAGGAAGGGATGGTTTAATATAAAAAGAGAAAGTAACGAGGAGAAATAGAGACGATGGTTTAGGAGAATACTATACTTTATTGGCGAGGAAAAAAAAAAAAGTTAATTGTGCACACAAATTTATTTAAAAATTATTTTACTAAAAATTATTTATAAGAAAAATATTTTACATCCAAACGGAACATAAACTAAAACCTTTTTCCTTCGCTATTCTTCTCAATGTAACCATGTGTTGTCTTTATTTTTCCCAAACTAAAATCAACCTCTATCCGTTTTCTTTCCAATCTAAATTTTTCCTAAGATTTATTATTATTATTATTATTTATTTTCAACCCTAAGTTAATGCTATTTTTAGGAGGGAAAAATAATCCTTGTAATTATCCGGAGTCTAAGGCAGCTTCTAATAATTTAATCCAATAAATAACTTTTTTTCTTTTTTGACAAGTAATTCAATAAATAATTTGACGTCCAATCCAGAAATGTTCCACAGCAGGAACATGGGAGCAGACAAGGACACTGTCACGAGAAGAATTGGTTCTAGAGTCTAGTGTATTACTCCGTATAAAGTGCTGTATAGTATCCAAAGATTTTAGAATATTGGAAAACTTATAAATATATGTAGAGTATAAGATTCTAAAACTGTAAAAAAAAAAAAATTAATGGCTATAAATATTTAGAGTATTTTAAATAGTAGAGATATGACTATAAATAAGCAACGATGTGATTTGAAAACAATAAACTTGAAGAGCAACGAGTTACAGAGAGTGACGGTAAGACTGATGAGTGACCAATGTTGTATCATAAAGCACAGGATTCAGTTAGATTAGATTCATCTAAGAATGTAATGAATAATAGTAGCAAATATTCTCCAAATCCATAGATATTTAATGATACAAATATAGAGAGAAGAAATAATTGGCACATAGATTGTACAAGCTCGAGAAAAGAGATATAATTGTTTGGGAGAGAGAGTTATTTCTTCCAACTATATATTATCCTTTCAAAAATAAAAAAAGTTTGAGAGAAATGATAATAGGTTAAGTAGTTTTTTTATAATTTACAAACTATCCTCACACCTATCTTAAAAGTTATAATATTTTATAAAAAAAATTATGATAGTAATTTTGTTGTTATAATTAATTTTCTTCCTGCTGTTTACTTTTTCTAAATAAGAATAGTATTTTTAGAAAATTAACAAAAAAATAAAATGATAGAATCCTATCATTTCACTTTTTTTCCTTCTTATTGTCCTTTCTTTTCTTTCATTTTCTTTTCTTTCCTCTTTTATATATATATATATATATATAATCTTATGAGTTTTCCAACAGTGAAGTCGTTGAAGTTGAATTAAAAAAACCTATGTATAACATATAACTACGCATATAAGGAGTAGATGTGGGTGGGGTTGGAGTGTTGGAGTATGCAGATCAACTCTTTTCAAAGAATCAAACACAACTCTTGAATTTATTAGTGTCACTAAAATTAGGGAGGTTTCGGTTCCCTGAACCAGGTGGACCTTCAATGCGGTCTCCAATCACACCTCTCTTTGGAAATTATTTATTATCAATTTTATCTGTTGGATATTTTTTCAAAAAAATAATAATAATAATAAAATACTTCGGTTAAAATTTTAAAAATAAGTCACTAGCTTTTAGAAAATGCAAAATATGCATCTACATAACTGTGCATTTATTTAGATTTGAATGAAAACATTTTATACTAGTTTACACATAAATTGACATATAAATAAGAATGTTTTAGTTATGTGAAAAAAATGTGTTTCTTACACCGTTATACTTCATTTATTTATATGTATATAAATTTGTACACGTGTTTGTATAAATTATATATATATATATATATAATAATGTTGACACTGAATTGAACGTGAGACATGAGAATATGATAAATTTAAAAGAAAATGAGACATGAAGACAACATAAATATGGTAAAAAAATAATCACATAATATATTTTTATATAAAAAATAATTTTTACTTATTTTATCCACAAAGCAGGTAACCACTAAGTTGAAAAACCAAATGTGAAACCCTTTTAAAGGATTGGTTGTGGTCTCATATAACATTGTAAAAACAATAAAATAATATTAATAACAATAAATAAACAAATAAAAAAAATGAAAAAATAACAACATTTTATACACATATAACATTCCCAATTCCATTCACTTAAAAAACATTTTTGTGTCCAACAAGGTTACGGCACCCTCTAATGGAATGTCAGATAATCAAAATGACCATGAGCACTTCACTTTTATAATCAATATTTTATTTCTTTATATAAAGTTGCAAAATTTGACTAATTTCATAATATATATATATATATATATATAAGACGTTAGTTTGTAGTTTGAAAAATATGATAAATTGCAAAATACCCTTTGAACTATCACGTTTTTCTAGATAATTGGTTGATAAGACAAATAACCCCCCTTATGCTTCAGAAAGGGGTTGTGAAGAAATACCAGATTGGCTCCACAATTGTTTGCTTCTTGTTTGAATGTCTTCTTCACCTGCTCAGGTGCCCAAAATTAAGGCAAGGAGTGAATAAAGTCAGTTATCAGGGGTGCATAAAGTCAATATAACTGCTATGACATGTAGATGTATATAAATATAATCAAAGCTGAAGCTTGATTTGACTTAAATTACATACTACATTTAATTATTATTATTATTTTCAATTCAACATACTTGTTGCTTGTTGGCACATTCATTTACATCTGTTTTCTGCACTGTCATCCTATTGATTATATGGTTGTAACCTACATGTACCAAACACATGGGATCAGTGTTGAATGAGATTAAATATGTCAGTTCCAAAAACAGAAGCATGATTGAAACATGTAATTGGATTGATTTTTGAAACAAAATACAACAACCATAGTATTATTTTCAGTGTGGTGCAACAGGAAAACACTCAATTCATTTCCTTTTTCAGTTACAACTGACTACTCACAACTCACAATACTCAGCAAAAAAAAAAAAATTGTAATTACAACAGAAGTATTATGGGAAAATAAAGCGCGAAAACGTTCAGAGAAGCCGACGCAACACATTCAACACACAGAACCCTACAAAATCTACAATTACAGGAACACCTCCAATGTCACCGGGTTAAATCCACCCCACCCAGTAGTGTCACTCGTCATGAGTTGTAGTTTTGCAAGAAGCACTTGCACGGAAACTAGGTGTCTCTGGTCCTTTCCCATGTAGCAAGGATCCTTTATTTAATGCCTCCCACCACGGAGAAATCCTAAATTCTGTTAATAAACTGGAAATTTCTAACTACCATACCGTTATGGTTTCAGTGGCAATGTCAGTAAATCCAGTGTCAGATTGTCCATAGAAAGCTCCGAGAGAGAGCTAGAAAACACCCAATTCTAACTTGGTAGATGCTGCACACTGCTCTCCTGATATGCTAGAAATGACTTGTTTACTTCTTTCTCCTCCCGACTCGAGGCAGGCCACTTCTAGCGAACAAGTTGTTTGGGCTTTACAAATTTATGTTATTCTCTTTTACGTTCTACTCAGCTGGAAGCGCAGAAAGATCACTTCTGAGACCTTCATCTAGAAAGCTCGTTATAGTGTCTTCTATCAATTCTCCAAGAATGGCTTCCTCCATTGCAGTACCAATACTTGCACTATCAAATCGAAGGTCCATCCATGTTCCAGTTCTCACCAAGTCTTTTCTAAGAATATGGTCCATGGAATGAGATGGCGGTTGCAGCAGAAGATGCCATTGGACTCCTTCCCATACCTCATCAATGAGATCCTTCCCCTTTGGAACTGGCCGAATGTTCTGTTTTATAAAAGACACACGAGGGGAGCAACCGAAATAATTCTCACAAACCTCCTCAAGAACTTCATTAGTACAATCAAAGAGGAGCTTTTGGTCGTGACGAGATCCATTTGGAAACAACTCAACTTCTTCAAACAATGATGGGTCAAGAAGTTGGTCTGAAGATAGCCGCCTCAAGAGAAATTCATCCCAATTCAAGTCAGAACCTAGTAGCACTGCTTCTACATATTCAAATGTGGATTCCTCATCCTCCATGCAAGTTGTTACACATATTCCTTCATGAGTAGCAGAAAAGACCTGATGTAGTGCTGGCATTGGTGGTTCAACTGTAGATTTTTTAATGTCTCGACATTAGCACAAAATAATGTGATATTAAAAAATAAATAAAAAAACACACATTGGATGGGAAATCATTTTGCTCTTGGTACAGGAGCCTACCAGGTTGGGTTTTGGTGCTTGCAGGGCTGATGTCGTCGTCTGTGAACAACAAGGCCTCGAGTACAGGCGTGAGACTGGGTTGCTCTGTTCTTTCATTTGCACTTTCTAGATCTTCAACTTGATTGGCAATTAAAGAGCTTGATGGAGATGCTAATGGAGAAGACAATGACTCGTCCTCATCAATTAAGTCCTGGGAAAGTAATGTGACAAATGTAGTGATAAAATGAGTTGGAACACAAGGGATAGAACCAATAAAGCACAAAGCAGAGATAGTGCTTCATAAAGGTGCTTCTTAATAATTTTAAGGGTATATGAGTGCCAATTACAACACGTTAATTTAAGGTTAATATAAGAGTGCATTCTTGTTATATTTGTTGATACAGATGTATTTTCCTGTAAATGCTCTTTGAAGATAGAAAATAGAGGACAAGTATAAATGCAACACATAAATCACCCTTAAGATTTAATGGAACAGATACAAGCACAAGTTTTTTCGTTTTAGAAAACATTTGAACACCAAATTCAAATAGCTGGTAACTAATTAATTTGCCATACGTAAACCAGTGAGCAGCAAGAGTTTACCGATATCAAGCACTGTGGGTACTCCTTTTTTTCAGAAACTTCAGCAGTATCCTCCTGGCCATCTCTAGTAATTGAGGAGCTTTCAGCTAAAACATCTAGGACTTCACTTTTTTCCTGGAATACAGTATCAGTAGCGTTTACAATTTGCACATCACCTGTGCAAATGTTATGAAGTAGTGAGCACAAAGATCTAATAGAATGCTTCACACCATAAGTTGAAGAATAAAGAAATGTAGCTCAAAAATAAGATAAAGAAAGATGGAGGAGGATAAACAGTACCATAATAACTCATTTCATCTCTCATAGAATATGAGGTTTCCACCAGTGATTTAGCATGATTAAGCTCATCAGTGATATCAAGATTTGAGCTGGAAGCTTGTACTTTATCTTCAGGGCTGTCATCAGTAGCGTATGATTCGCTCTCCAAGTTTTGCCTTGATGGACCAAGACGGCTGACACACTTTTCTTGCCGCCAAATGTTCTCGTTTACCATGTGAATATTGTTGGAAGGAGACAATTTCATCTGTTCAGTTGGAAAAATGTGGTCCCTGTCTCTTCCAGGACTGGAAATAGGAGATAAGTTGAACTCAGGAAGAGAGAGAATCGTCCCCAGGGTTTTTGGTAACCGCCTGCTTGAAAATTTCTCAATTCCATCCTCATTGATCAGCATCTTTGACAGATGTTTCTTGGCCTCACTGTAGATGTTAGATACCCTTTGCTCAGGATATCCAACAGGTTCAGTTCCCATACTTGTCTCAGTGTCTTTTCGCTTGCTAATCTGGTCTCCTCTCTTTACACCAATGGAAGGTCTGGCAAATCTTTCATTATAGAAATGGTTTCTATTTGGAGAACCCCATCCACCATTCTCCCCACCAACCCCTTTCTCAGTGTTACCCGAGTTCTGATGATCAGAAGGAAATTTATAGGTAACACCATCTGATGAGATCCTGTGCCGCTCCTTTCCCATAGCATGCTTTAACTTCCGTCTAATTTCAGTAAATGAGAATTGGGAAGCAACTCTCTCGCTCTGCCCATTGTTCTCCAGGCTGAAATGAGATTGCAATGATGTGTTAAGGCTGCTATCAGTTTCAGAATTCTGCACTCCTGCTGGTACGGGCTTTAAAACAACAATTCTATTTGAAGGTTGTTGACAGTTCTCATTTCCATCAAACAAGTCTCTTTTCTGAGACTTGCTCTTTCTCTTGAAGAACTTGTGCTGCTTATAGTTAACAGGCTCAGATGGTCTTGAGTTACTTAGTTCCTCACCTAGCAGGTGGGATTTTGCCGCTGACTTTGAATTTCGGTCTTCCTCTAATCGAGTACCTTCCAAATCCTGAATTTGCTTCACAAGCAATGTGTCTGGATCCTTTACAAGTTTCAATATCAATTCCTTATTTGACCTTAATGTCTGGAGAGCATCCATTAATTCTTTGGACTGGTAAATTTTCCCGTCTTCAGCCAGATGCTTCCCGTTAGTAAACTTCTGATTTACAAACACCTCAATTGCCTCGCTTATTTTTTCTTCAGAAACAGAATAAATCTGGCTTGACTGAATGTCAAGGTCATCATGCCAGTCCTGCTTCACACAACTAGTGCTTTTATGATGGATCTGCTGATAGAACTCTTTTATTATTACTTCAAGATCAAGATTATTTGAGATTTTTTGCTCTGACACATGACGACTAGAATTTTCAGGCACCAAGTTTTCGGCAGCATTCAAATCACAATGTATATCACAAGAGCCCTTGCTAGTTTTCTTTGTTCGCTTACGGTTCTTTTTCACACGTCCTTCTGAATTAGATTCTTTTTGTTCTACTTCCGTACTTCTTATATGCTTCTTAGGATCCTGTTCACCGAACATCTCTTCTTCCATGAGTTCCTTTACACTTGTTTTACCATCATCGCCTGTTTTGATTTCACTTTCATCACCATCCTGAAACATGTTGAGGTTAAATCAATGGTGAAACATAAATATTAGGATTCATCATTCGTTGATAGCCTAAAGTTTACCAACGTGGTGAATCATCTCTCCCCACTCCACATCCAAAAAAGCAATATATATATATAAAAGAGAACTTGAACCCTTAACCTCCCAAATGGGAGAAAGGAGGAAATACCACTTGAGTTAAAGACTCAGAGTTCAAGTAAGCATTTCATTTGAATACAAATATAAATTGCCAACACGTACACAAAATCCTTGACACTTCTCATCAAAGTTTGTCAGCAACAATTCGGACCTAGAATGCCCAGCACCTGTAGAAAGGAAAAAAGATCAACAATTACAACATGTGGAAACGGTGTTCAGCCATTCATGAAAAACTTGAGAACGGTTTTTGTGAAGTAATGCAACATAATAAATGCTTATGGTGTTACATTTTCATGAAACACCTGAAAAAATTATACAAATTTGGTTAAGAAAAAACAAACAAGCTGTTTCTTTATTGGTCTATAATTGTGGAAAACAATGGCAAAATCTTTTTATTTGGGCCAACCCCATTCATATGGGATAAGGCAAGGATGGTGGTGATGATGAATGATTGTTTTTTCCAACAACTTGTAAAATGGGTTGTTTACAATTTCATAATCCTGCAGCACACTAATTTTAGATACATGTTATAAAAGGTGATGTCAGCTGTGTGGAGATGTTACAGAAATACAGTCCCCTGAAGACATTGTTTCAGGTTTAAGAGAAGGGGTAAATATTTATAAACAGATTATCACTTGAAATTCCAAATATATTAAAAATTGTCCATATTCTTTGCTGGTACTAGAGTCCTTACCAACAACAGGTAGTTTGTTCTCCCACCTCCCACCTGAAAGCATCCTGTGAGTTGAACGACCATGGCGAAAGTTGAAGATACCAATCCAGCCCCATATACAGCCCACCTGATCTTTTTCGAATCGCACAGGTCGTCTTTGTGATCTTTTTGCCATAACGAATGGATGAGTTTTTGACTTCAGAACTTTTTGTTCATGCAAACTTCCTGATAAATGAGAAAATTGAAATACAATATATTAAATGACTTTAAAAAGGTCAATTCAACCCCCGAACCTTCCCAACAAAACCACCAAAATACAATTACAAGAAATTCTAAATCAGGACTCCAAGAAATACACAGTTTCTACTTTCAAAAATAGCAATGTATAATAATAATATTAACTTGGTTCCTAATTTTTTTTTTTTTTTGAAAGTTCAAGATATATTAACCATTGCACTGAACATAATACCCTACCCTTTTTTTTTTAAAAAAAAAAAAAAAAAAAAAAAAAAAAGGACCTCCAGGCTTTGTTCTTCATTGAAGTTGCAAAAAGTCATAAAAATACATGGCCCTGAAGAAAATTGGTTGATTTGAAGAAGCGTGCAAAAGAATGACTGTAAAAAAATCTAAAAGGGACAAGCAAATTTTTACAAATAATAGTAATAAAAAAAAATCACACATAAGAATCTCGCTGTGTTGGAACTCTTAAGACAAGAAAATGGTGAACTATATAAATAATTGTTAACAATCGAAAACCACCTATTAATCATGCACTCAGTTATTAAACTGCTCAACAAGATCTGATTGGTTGATTCTTGAGGAAGACCAGTTAAGCTAATATAACCAGAGAAACATTTTACAATCTTATTACAGGTATCTTTTCACATACACGTGCAGTAGAAAAAAATCTGGCCCAGCAATGACATGTTGATGTTATGTTCACATAATCATTCAAACACCAAATTACTTAATATGAACTATATATTTTACTATATCACCGTATCTGGGCTTCTAAATAAAAGAAATACATAACTATTTAGTAATCTAATGGATGCACCAATAAATTGATGATAAGGAAATGGAAGGCACAAAAATTGTACCTGAAAATTGGAGCCCCTAAAACTGATACGCCAATAAGAAAAAATATGCAGCCAGAGATTACTATTGAAGAAGATCAACACATTCCAATTCCAAATCCACAAGCTTTCCAACAGAGTAAAGCTCAAGGAACAAAATGCCCTCTTTAGCTGGCAAGGAATCAATTTTTTTTACCTCTATTTTTCATCCACGAGCCTTAAACCAGTGCCTTGAACTTTAGGCAATGGTAACCAGATCTTCCTTTGGACGAAAAGAGCAATTCTGACAAGTATTTTCACTCTAAATTTGCCAGCTTTACTAATCAAAAACCTTCAACAACAAAATTAATCGAGAATTAAACTTGTTGAAGACGTAAACAACATTAAAGTAGGCATTTAATCCTGCCTTCAATCAAATTCACCCCACATACTCAATTCAGAACCTAACTCCTTCAATCCAACTGTCAAGTTATTAATTCACTTTTCCCTGTAAATGATTCAAGAATTCTCTTTCATACCAAATGTGCAACTCTTGAATCGCCAAATACAGGTACACCACTATCTCCAAAACTCAACAATCTACTTTTTAAGCACCAAAAAAATTAATTTTCTAGAAACACCCGAATCGATTCTTTTGCAAATTATATGGAAATTTTGTCAAGATTGGTGCGTACATTCACCAACCAGAAAAAGAGGGACTCAAAGTTGATACACAAAATGAATCTAAATGCCCCAAAATTAAGCTTTCTGAAATACCCAAATCAAACTTAACAGCAATTCCAAGCATATATCATCACCCCCAGAAAAGTCCTTATTAAAATTGAGAATGATCTCTCAGTAGATTAGTTTCATTTTCATCACACAACTGAAAAAATCAGAATAAACCTGTACAAATCCTATGCAGGACCACCACACCCCAAAGAAGAAAAAAGAGAAAATGTTGTCAAAGCAGAGACTTTGTGGGTGTCTTAACCGACCAAAAAGAGAGAGACCCAGAAGGCACAAACACCGACCCACGTAGAAATTAGGTATAGGCAGCCATTAAAGACTGAGGAAAGTGGAAGGAACGGAGGAGAGAAAAGAGTGTAGTGAATATTGAAGAAGAAGATGAAAAAGAAATAGTTGAAAAGTGAAAGTTTAGAGCTTTACAATGTCGGCTACTGTGGATCGTATTGGGAGGAAAAGAATACGTGATGGTTGGTTGTTGCTGAGTAGGAATTGTTGGGCCCATTGTGTTGAAAGCTTCCCATTGAAGGAAATTTTGGGGGTGTTTCATTTTCTCCTCTGCACTTCCACGTTCAACCATCATCACTAAAATCACCCTCCAAGACCTCTCTCTCTCTCTCTCTCTCTCTCTGTATATATATATATATAAAACCAGTGTGTATTTATTTATCAAAGTGCTCTCTAGGTTTTTTAGTCAGAAGATAACGCGTATGAGCATTATTGATAATAAAAAAATACACGCAAGAGTATATATATATATATATATATATATATATATATATATATTTTCGAGAGAGAGAGAGAGAGTCGTTGAGAATTGACCAATGAGAATTTGGAGTATAAAGTTTTAGGATAATGCATTTTAGGTCTAATTATTTAATCCAGAAGTCTAATTAAAAAGTTTTTCATGCCTTAAATATAATTAAATAAGAGCAAAGTTTATGATTTTTTTTTAATACATTTAAGGAATAAAAAATATTGATGACACCACTTCTCAATTTCGATTAGAGTATTAAATTTGAAAAGCATTGTCTAAACTTTTAAACTCTCACGTTACAAAAATTGTAAAATAATTATTTGTATTAGACGATCAGGTAATAAAAAAATATATTAAAAAAGTAATATTAATTAATCACATGTGAGAATTTAATTGGTCAAAATCGATTAAAAGAAAATAATAGTATAAAAGTTCCACTAAAAGGCGTAATCAAAATAAAAAAGAGATAATTCATGCATTCAAAATAAAAAAGAGATAATTCTATTTGAGAAAATGAAGTGGAGAAAAGGAATGTGTAGAATGGTAAAACTGTAAATATATGGCGATTGAGAAAGAATATTGAAAGTTGAAAGAACAAGGATAATTGCTTTCTTACTTTTCTTGGTAGACAATGAGATTTTTGTTGACTTACCAAAAAAAAGAATCATTTTAGGTCATAACACAGAAATAATATAGAAAATGTTAGAAGAAAAAATATTGCAATATGAGCGTAGTTTAGAACTCCAGACTCTAATAATAAAAATGATATTATTAATATATTAATATTATTTATTTAAATGAAACTTTTTGGCGAATTTTTGCAATTATTAGTTAAATATATATATATATATATATATATATATATATTTTATTTAAAAAAGTGATAGAATAGGAGGAGAAAAATTAAAATGGATAAGGATAGTATTATGAATTTTGATAGAAAGTGGAATAAAAAAATTAAAACGAATCAAATTTCACCCACTGATAAATTTCGACAATTACAAGGAATCACTATTATATTGCTATTATTGGTTGGAAGAGTCTAAAAATATATGAATATAAAGAAGTCTAGTAATATACAATAATGTTTAAAATAATAAAATAATAATAATATATAGTAAGGAAGTAATAATTTTAGGGGTCATACTAATGCAAAATAACTATGATTAGTTGGGGCAGGAAAAAAAATATGTTAAATGTTAGGAAGATAAATAATAATTTTAGGGGGCTTACTAAAATATAAGGAAGTAAAAATTTTAAAAAGTCTAATAAAATAAGGAAATAATAATATTAAGAATAATAATTTGAGGGGCTTTCCTATTGGAAGAGCCATGTATAAGGAAATAAATTTATTAAGAAGTTGAAATAATAAGAGGAGTGCTAGTTATTGTCCTTCAACAATCGCTCATTTTATTGGTCACAATTTTTATAATTACGCGTTCATTTATGAGATATCTCATAACTTTGTGAGAATTAAAAATATAAACTTTTAAGGCAAAATTACTCTTTAATCTTTTTTATCTCTCTCCTTTTTTTTCTCAATTTTATCCCGTATACATATATAAACACTCACATACACACACACATTTACATATCAATAACACTCTAGAATCTAGATTGCCAAAAAAACAAAAACATACGAGAATATATTAATTCATTTCTTTTTGGATTGCCAAAACAATTAACATTATGAGAATGGATTAATTTTTTTAAAAAAATTATATTTTAACTATATATATATATATGCGCTATATATGGATTCATAGTTGAGAGAATGGTTTGATTTGCAAAAGATTTTTTTGATTAGCTATCAAAGAATATATGATAGCGAGTGATACATGAAAGTGGTTGCATATTATATATATATATAAATTTACATTGATTAAGTAAGGAGAGAAAAAAAGAATAGAAATAAAAAACTTATATGGATATGAAGGTGGTTATATACATATTACATATTATATATATACATGTACATCGATGAAGTGAGGAGAGAAAAAAAAAAAAAATAATAATAATAATAATAATAATAAAAGATCAATTGAGAGAGAGGAGAGGGTTAAAGAAATTTTTTTTTTTCACTGTGTTAAACCTTAGTTCAAGGTTGGGTTGCAGGTAAGTTATGAGCTCAATCCAAACTAAACATATAATATAGTATTATTATTATTTTTAAAAAAATCCAAAGTTAAAACCATAACTCAAAACTTTATTTTTCATTTTGCATTTTTGTATTCATTCAGAATAGAAATAACATTTTTATTATTTGGAAGTATGTTAGGTACAGTAAAATTTGTTGAAATATTTTTTGAAAACAAAAATATGAAAACATATTTAATAAATAAGTGTTACAAGATTAAGAAACAAAATAGCTACTTAAAAAAGTTTTTTGAATTGTTTACCATTACAATGTTATTGCTACAGTGCAAAAACATTAGGAAATACCATTATTATTATTATTATTATTTTCAATTTGAGTCTCTTTGGACAATAAACACAATATTATTTAAATCGCAACAAAAGTTACGAAATGCCTTGTGATATTTTGTTTATTAAAATACACCACCCACAATACAAAAATAATTGCCAAACATATCCTAATTTACACTTGTAATTTCACAAGCATATTGGTTACTTCACCTTATTTTCTTCTACTTAATTTATTTAATCTAAGCTTTTCCTTATCGTACCTATATATAATCTTTTATACATATTTGTATCACATACTAATCTTAAATTGGAAAGAAGACTGGTTATAATGATGGCATTGCAATGATAATCTTGTTTTGAATTCAAATGAGTTGCCACTTCCAAGTTATGAGTAATGAACAATGTACTACTTGCCTTTTTTTTTCTTTTTCTAGCAGATACTATTAATTGGATTTCAATTTGCTTACAATAGTACTAAGCAATAATGAGTGACAAATGACTAAAGGGTGGATGAAAAAAAAAAAAAAAGGTGGCACCTAAAGGTTTACTTACCTAAATCATACAAGGTACTGACAATATAATATATACACCTGTGATCGTTTTTTTAAAAAAAAATTAAATACAAAAATTGATTTGTCCTGTAAAAATAGAAAAAGAATGGTAGATGTGATACAAAAATTGATTTGTCCTGTAAAAATAGAAAAAGAATGGTAAATGTGATAATAAAGTCCACAGACTCCAACCACACTAGACATTACACGTGTGGAAATTATACTTTTTTTATCATATAAAGAAGCCATAAGAGTTGGTACCAGAGAAGGTACTCTGTACTACTAATAGATAAAAGTATTGAAGATAGACCTAATTTGACATTGTTTCGTGCAAAATAGTTTTTCTTGAACCTGAATTTGACAATTTTTATTTATTTATTGTTACACTTGTACATACGGAGTAGTTTTTTTAACTGTTATATACCCTACACAACCAGATGTCGAACCTTTTTTTAATTTTCCCTTATTAATTCACTTCTAAGCGAGAATATAATATTGCAACAATCTAAAGAACAAAAAAAAAAAAGTAAATTCAGACGTGTCATTTTGGGGTACCGAGTCCTCATGTGGTTCATGTCAAAATGTGTCGTTAGGATGGAAGGAAAAAAAGGGTGTAGTTAGGCCCAAGTAGGCAATTGGAGCCCACTACATGAAAAAGAAGTTGGGCCCACCCTTATTAGGCATAACAAAGTCTAATGGTGATATTTGTCTAATCAAAAGGCCCGTAAGAGACAAAATCTACCCCCACAAGACAAAATAACCCCCCCACCAGCATTGTGTCTAATTTAATTACATAAATCAATCTTCAGGGATGTTAATTATTACGGAATATTTATTATATTATTTTATAATTAGTTTTATTATTGTAGGAGCCCAACTGTTACACAACACGTACTACGACATTGGAAATTAATAAATTCGTTAAAAAGATTGGACTTTATATGTTAATAAGATTGTTAAAATTAGCCGTCACAAATTAATAAAAAAACAGCGCGCGCAAACACACACACATATATATATATATATTATGTTTAAGTTATGGGAATCTGACGGAGTAATCTTGTCTTAAGCTAACTAAAGGTCCATGCCACCAAATGGGACAACTCATAGAAAAATATGGCCTCTTTAGTTACGTATTTTAGGGGCAACTTAATAGGACGACAGTGATAACACCAACTGTCATTCGTTGCCCCATCCATGTAGTTTTTTTCAATTAACATATATGTTATCATATAATATTATATATATATATATATATATATTAATTTGGACCCTCTATTTAAGTCTTACATCCTTTTTGGCCTCTAATTATTAACTCTTAACATTGTTATCATTAAATAATAATTAAAAAAAATGGTATCTACCCCTGATCAAAACTTTCAATTTTCCATTATGATAAACATACTATATTGCTAGTGTCCAATGCCTATACGACTTGCATCGAATGGTATAAAGTATAAACTAATAGAACTTTCTAAATTAAATATTTTTACACATTTTTAGAACATTTTAAAACACAATTATAGAATGTCATTCATTTTAAGGAATTTTTCACTATAAATAGACCGGGAGACCAGTTTACACACTATTTTAAAGCATTCACAACTAATATAATGTCAAAGCAAAACAAAAAAAAGAGTAACAAATTTTCAAATTTATTTATATGCTTGTCATTGTTGAAAATTGTCATCTAATTCATATCGATCCAAACTCTACTTCAATACCCATATATATATTATTCTGTTTAAATAAATACTAGTATATACATATTATTTTTTTTGTTTAAATAAATACTAAGTATCTCAAAGGCGTTCTAATGATATGACATCTTGTTATTGATATTATTTTTAAACAATTTGGACGGTGGTGGAAAACATTGAAAAATAAATAAA